TCTATCGGACAGATTACTGTTTTTCTCATATGTTATATAAAACAATAGTATTATCTATCTTAAAGATAAATAATAGTTAATTGCTTTGCTTCCCCTTGCTCATTTTTCTAAAGAATTTCTATTCACACGAACTTGCTTCTTTTTTTTATTTTAAAAACCATTTCATGTATTTCTGCTGAAAGGAAGGAAAAAGAGAAACACTGTATGACTGCCTTTCTGGTTCAGTACCCACAAAAGGTTAACTTTGATGATATCTTCAGTGGAAACAAGTTTCTCACATGGAGATGGAAGTTACTCTTTATTAAACTGTTTTCTAGTATTGAAATTTTTCTGTGAACGTGTGTTGTTTTTATGACAAAAGAGAAACCCATTACCTCCTCCACACCTCATCTCTACTTGTTTAGGGATTTATTTTCTCTGCTGCAATCCTGACCCCTTTGTAGTAAGTTATAACAAAAGAGCTACTGTTTAGAGTGTTTGCTTTATGTGAGTCAGAGCACTATATTCACTATCTTCCAAATTTCTCAATAGGTTTCGAAAGGTGGGTATTATCACCCTCTTTTTACAGATAAGGAAATTGAGCTTTAAGGAGATTGATAATTGATTCAGGTCCAAGTTTAAAATAGTTGAACCAGGACTGAAATCCAGGCAAAACTTACAATGGCTCCTAACTGGAATTGCTACCACTATTCTCTGAGGCCAGTTATTTTCTTAAACTACATCTCATCACACCACCTCTAGCTTAAAATCTGTGATGGTTCCACCTACTCCTTCCATTTTCCAGAGAATACAGCCTAAATGTCTTAACTTGTCTTCTCCAAGTGCATTTTCAATGAACCTGTTCATGCACTCATACTTTATATATTAACAAATAATTATGAACCATAATAGTTGTTTCAAAAACAGTTTTACACATAATCTCCATAAACCATGTGACATGGGCAGGTTAGCTAACAGTTCTGGTAGTTACAATAGCTAATCCGGTGCCAAGATGCTATGCTGTAACTTTGCTGTCTTGTTTACTTAGTGTTCATAGCTTCCTATCATTTTTCAGCCTATCAGAACATATCAGCCCTGATTTTGCATGCATCACTCTCTCTTCGGCCTATATGCCCTACTCCCTGCCTGGTAAATGCATAGAAATCCTGCATGGTCCCTAGGTTTGTGTGACCCATCTTTCTAGTACCAACTCTACTAGGTAAAATGCATTCTTTCCCAGACTAACTTTCCCACTAAACTAAGCAAGATCCATATTCTAAGAAAATGAGACTGGTTAGCAAAAATGAATAGAATGGGAAGCAGGGGGGGGGGTAAGGAGAGAGAAAAACAGAGGGGCCTGGAAATTAATGGATTTTCTAATTAGAAAGAGGGCCATAAACAAGGAGTGAAAGTTTCTGGAAACAGTGGGGGTAGCATGATTCAGAGGAAGTAAAATCAGAAAAACACCGACTTCTGTCTCTTTCCGAATCTTGGACCTTGAGAGAAAATTAGCTTTGATGAAGCAAGAATCCAAAATCTACTTACTTGTTTCTCTTTTAAACAGGAGAGCGCCAACATGTATGCCAACAAAGAAAAGTTACTCCAGGCTGTGACACATCTATCACGGGAAACACAGCCTTGACCTGCAACTCAGTGCTTCAAGTACAGACTCTGAAGCTCTCACTGTAACTGGCCTAAGTAAGTTCTGTGATCGCCGCTGTTTTATAGGAATGAGGAAGCCAAGGCACAGAGGTTCATCAACTTGTCCAGAGCCACTCAGCTGGTAAGTCCCAAAGTGCATATTCCTTGACCCTCCTCCCATCCTCACAACTAGTCACTGGCTGCAGTGTGAGTGCTCTTAGCTGACATGTAATGATACTACCCAAAACAGAGCTCTTGACCTGTCTCAGACTTTCTCATGTCCTGTACCCACTGGCTTAGCTCTTCTTCCCCAGGCAGAGTTAAAATCTAGAGCAGTCCAGGCCAAAGCAGTGGGCAGGTGCATACCATGTCGAGGAGCAGTGTTTGAAGAGGAAGAGCAAAAAGAGAACATTTGTGATTTGCAAGGCTTGAATCTCTCTGGCAGTTATGAAAATTACCATAAGCATCATGGGAGGAGAGCTACAGTGTACTCCGACTTCCAGTATTTTATATTCTGGAGAAGTCACTTAGCCTGTGCAGGAATGCCAGTTGTCCATTACAGTAGTCTGATGATGGTAACAAACATTTAAAATAACAGCACTGATGAGAATTATCCTGCATCCCTTAGTGTTGTTGTAAGTGCAATAATGTGTGTGTGTAGGCAAATGTTATCTATTTCTTTTTTCTAAAGATTTATTTACTAATGCATACAAGAACTGGGGTACACACCAAAGGTACAGGGTGGGGGTGGTGAGAGGATTCATCAGAGACAGAGTAAGGAGCAAAACAGGCAGATCTACCAAATCACAATGCTGAGGGGAGCAGCAGGTGGGACAGGAGAGGTCTGCCATGCCATATGGGTCACCTCCCTGGCCAGAGGTTGAACTCATGCTGCAGTGGCTGCCAATAGCCTCACAGTGCCGTGCTTAACCCCTGCACTACCAGGAGGGCCCAAATATCAACTATTTCATGACAATTTGGGGGGTTTACTAGTCTCTCAGACTATCTGAAAAATTTCTATCCTCTCCTCTCCCCCACTTACACCTCTCAAGCTATTAAAACACTGATTCTGAGAAGAAATGCAAATGGCTACAGTATATGAAAAAATGTTCAACATCACTTATAATCAAGGAAATACAAATCAAAACTACAATGAGATACTACCTTACAACAGTGAGAAGAGCACATATTGCAGCACTATTCAAAATGGTTAAGAAATAGAGACAGGGGCCCTTCTTGGTGGCGCAGCGGGTTAAAGCACAGCACTGAGAATCTAAAGCCGTTTCAGCATGAGTTCGATTCCCACCTGCCCTGGAGGTGACCACATGGCGTAGCAGACCTCTCCTGACCCGCCCGCTGCTCCCCCAGCAGTGTACTTCGTCGTTCCACCTGTTCTGGTCCCCACTCTGTCTCTAGTGAAGCCTCTCGCCGCCCCTGAGCCTCTGGCCTGTACCCCAGTTCTGTATGCACAAATAAATAAATCTTTAAAAAAAAAAAAAAGAAATAGAGACAACTCAAATGTCCAAAAATAGATGACTGGATCAAGAAGATGTGGTATACACACAATGGAATACTTTTCAGCAATCAAAAAAAAGATAAACTCATGCCACTTGCAGCAACATGGATGGAGCTACAAGAGATCATGTTCAATGAAATAAATCAGAAGGAAAAAGAAAAATATCAAGTGGTTTCATTTATAGGAGGAATATAGATGAACCAAAGAAGGGATCATGAAAAAGTAACAATAATAATACAACAACACTAGCAGGCAACCAAAATAAGGGAGAGGAAAGGGGATCAAACCTGGGTAGAGAAGAACACAGGGAACTATGGAGATGATTCATGGGTGAACTGATGGTGGGAATTTAACAGGGATTATACAATGACGTAAAAGACGTAAATTTAAAAATAAGTAAGTTATTAAAAAATGAAAATAGAGATGATTCCCAGGGAAAAAAATAACACTGATTCTGAGCGTGTTTCTAATCCAAATAACGCCCCTCTGTATGATTTACCCCTAAAGCAAAATTACCCCAAAAGGCAACTTGACACTCTAAAATGATCTGAGATGACCTGTGACAAGTTATCCTCCTATTACAGGGCAGCTTTGGGGTATATGGAGTTTCTTGAAAGAAAAGTCATAATTACACCAAATACTCCACATCTGCCTGCTCATCCCTCCTTTCCCCACACAGCCTGTGTTCACGCTGCTAGTGAGCAGCAACTCCAGTGCAGCTACTGTCCCACTCTTCTCGTGACCTGTTGAGGTAGATTTCTACATTAAAGTAATATTTAAGTCCCAACACGACAGGCAGAGGAGCAGATGTCCTCAGTGAAGACACCAGAGCCCACACACATGGGGACAGAGCATGAGAAAATCATCCCTGGGGCAGGCATTTCAACTGCATTTTGACAGGTAATTAGAGGGTCTGACTATATTTCTCCAGAACTTCATTTGGTAGTCACGTGGATTTTCACCTTGAAACAAGATAGTGGCTAGAATGGCATGTGAAAAAGAAACTGCCTTGCCTTCTATTTTTCTGTCCAAATTGTCTTAATAGTTTAGCTTTACCAGATCTATCTATGTTCCCCAGACAAAATTTAAAACAATGTAGCAGCAGTTGTTTGAGATGAAAGCAGGTAGCAGGTGAGTGGTCAGTGTAGGGACATTTATTAGTAAAACAATTTCTAGGATATCTGAGTCACAATCTCCTTTTAGAGGTGAGGACTAGGAAGGGGTCTAGGGTTAAGTTTTCCTTTTTCTTTCATTGAGAAAGGAGTATGCCTTTGGCATATATGTCATGATTAAGTGAATATTCAAAAATCTCCACTTGCAGAGGCAGCGAGGATGGTATTCACCATACTAGGTGCTTCATGAAAAAGGGCTTTGCCTGAGCAATGGATTCTGAAATCCATTTCTGTACCTATTAGCCCCTCTGATGCATACACTTGACTGACCAGTTTTGCAGAGCAACCCCAAAACCACCATCCTCCCAACCCCAAATAATGAAATGGTTGCCCGAATGATCTGGATGATGTTATTCTCTCAGTTTACTAAAGCAGAAATCAGCTAAAAGGCATTCAGAACAACAGAGCTTTTCCTCTCTGAGCTCTCTGGACCAAAACCAACAGATCCTTTCTCCTACTGTCTCTCTTACATCCCCCCCCACACACACACACACACACCTCCATTCCCTGGCACAGAGAACTAGATTCCTCTCTTTCCTCTTTCCATGACAGGGTCAGCTGAAGAACTCCCACCATCTCTTCCTCCCTGCCCCACATTAGTTTGGATCCATTAAAATGTCAATGAAACAGGAGGCAGTACTTGTTTTGTGCCTTGGTTTTATTTTTTCTTTTTAAGCATAAGTATCATTTCTTTCAATATAAATAGACAGTTCCAAACACACACACACACACACACACACACACAATAATCTTGGTTACTGTCCAGCAGGTTCATGCTCCATTCTTATAGATCACATTCTCCATAAAAAAAAAAAATACATTCTTTAGTTTTAGGACACTTTTAAACATCGGGAATTCCTTGTTCAACAAGGACCTTTTCCAAGATAATTTAAATATGCCAGTGATGAATGTCTAACTTATGTCTAAGAATCAAAGTGATTGAAGTGAGCTAGAATTCAACACCAAGGATACAGCAATTGATACACAAAAATATAAGTTATTAGATTGCAAAAATACATCATACTTTGTATACAAATTTATATCAAGTAATAAGTTACTTACAAAAAAAAAAAAAAAGCTCAGGTGTGTTTCTCCTGACTCAAGTGTGGAAGGCACAGCAGTCCTGGCACTGAGGACACCCTCAGCAGTCACTCCCCCCCACGTGGAAGGGACACAGTCACTTGGCTTGAGCAGACTGCAGAGTTCCTAGTACTTTGTCCCAGTGTGTGAAGTAAGGTGCAAAGTTGCAGTTAAATCGAGAGTGATGCAGGTCGTGGTGAACCACGCCCCCGTACCAGCCGAAAGGAACCAGCCTGTGTGTAGACCAGGGGAAGTCATAGCCCGAGTGGTCCTCCACCGACAGCCAGATGTTGACCACGTGGAAGACCAGGACGGTGAGCGGGTGGCACTCAAGCAGAGTGACATTCACCAGGTCAAAGAAGCCCAAGGAAAACAGCTCCCAGAAGCTCACATACTGGGTGGCCAGCGCAAAGGAAGACGCGTTCTGGTGGTGGATCTTGTGGAAGGTGCGATACAGCCACGGGACCTTGTGGTGCAGCACGTGCCAAACAAAGAACTCGGCGTCGAAAAGCAGCAAGCAGAATGCGACATCGCGCACCAGCTGGAGCAGCTCCGGGGCTTGGCTGGGCAGGACAGGCGGGCGGCAAGCCCAGTGCACCATTGTGAAAGGGAACACGAACACCACGTGCTGGTAGAGTGTCTGCCCCAAGCAGAGCAACAGCTGCTGCGCGGTGGGCGAGAAGTCCGGGTGGATCTTGTAGCGTCGGAGCGTGGGCACCCAAGGGCAGAGGATGTCCAGCACCACAAAGGGCAGGCAGAAGCCCACGTAGGTGGTGATGGCGAAGATAATCGGGAAGAAGGGCGACTGCGTGAGGGCCTCCCGGGTCCTCAGGCGGTCCCAGAGGGGCTGCAGGAACAGCTGCCCGGAGCTGCAGACGACCTGGAGTTCAGTGTGGTTGTGGCCTCCCATGGTTAGGCAGTGCCGGCAGCTGCTGCCGCCTGAGCCGCGCGGACTTTAATTTGGTGTTGCAGCCCCGCCCCAGTGATGTCAGCGCCTCCCCTCAGCTTTCTCTGACTCCACAAACTGCCTGAACAAATAAATCCAGAGTTGCGCTTAGTCGCTCCATACCTCTACAGCTGCATTTCATCGGCTTTACATATGCAATGTGCAAAGACACTTAATTACTTGTCATGTGCCTATAGAAAGATTATGTTCTGATTTTTAGTTGACATACAACTTACACGCGACACAATGAACAAATCTGCAGTGTGGTTTCTGAATTCTGACAGCTCGGTCGTCATCACCGCCACACAAGGGGCTATTTCCATCACTATGAGAAAAAGTTTCTTTGTAATCAATACAGAATTGCCTGTGTCTTTTAATGCGTACCTAGAATTGTGTTTCTGTTTTCATAAGGACGCAAGCTTAACCGCCTTAAAAAAATTTTTAGAGCAAAAACTTAAACAAAAACAAAAACCCACGTCTGTATTTCGCATCTTTTCTGTCGGCGCGCGCTTCTATCAATGTAACCAACGAGTTGCAAAGTAACCCTTAGCAGAGGGGACCCAAGCGGATGTCATCGGCGGAGAAAGTCGGACGGGAACGCCAGCCGTTCCGTGTCTCGCAAGGAGCTGTCCTCACCGGACAGCGACGGCCCCAGGACGCACCGCACGCAGACTCGCGCGCTGGAGCCCCAAACCCAGGCGGAGAATTCCCGCCGCCTAGACCCAGGAGGCTAGAATGTAGGGGCGCGCGATTGCTAGGCTTCGCGTTGGGGGAAAAAAAAAAAGTTTTCTAAGTGCTGGATTTAATACCCAGTGCCTGCCCATATCTAGCTAAAAATCTACCAATCTCCATTACTTATGGACACGATGAAATGAGTAATCCGCCCACGTTGTTTCTCGAGCGAAGTTGTGCGTCCCGGGTCTCCTCAGTGAATGGTGAGACCGGCAGACGCACTCCCCCGCTGGCTTCGCGGCGCCCACTTACCCTCTTCCATCTTAATCTGCGCCAGTAACACATCACTAGCCCCGAGAATCCACTGTGCCACTGGCCCCTACTCTGTTTCTCGCGGCCAGACTGGGGTTTCTGGCTGGGAACTGAACTCTGATCTGGACGACAGCTCTGGAGAGAAGCCATGATCAAGATAAAAACCAGCCAGCTGGTTGGAGGCGCGGGACGCAAGGGACGACTGATGGGTAGAAGTTGGGATAAAAGCTTGAAATCCAGGGACCACTCCCAGTCCTACTTTTGTCTCCTCTTATGTCTGTGAAGTTGGGGGTCAGCGCTTCACTCTTCTAGGTTTTGTAGCGTTTTATCCCTCCCAAAAGGAAATAACAGTGGTCATCCCATAATAACAAAACAATAATGATAACATCACCTAATCTCTAACTAAGTGCCAGGCATTACTGAACGTGTTACTTAAAGTGCTTTTATTCAATCCTTGGAAGCCCTGGGCTCCCCAACCTGCCAAGAAGCAGGTATTACTCTGATCGTGATTGTGATTTTATAGAAGTATAAAGTGCCTGGGACACAGAAAACAGACTAGAGAAAACAGTAAGTCTGCAATCTACCTTTTACCAAAAGTATAATTGAAGTTTATGATGTAAGTCAAGTAAAATTATGCAAAGAAAAAAGATATGTCATCTATTATGAGGGAAAAATAAATGTAACAAAATGATACCAACATGTAGATCAAGAAATACAATAACTCCTGTGTCCCTTATACCATCCTCTATGAGGCTATGTACAGATCCTAAATAATATGTATATAATGTATAAGTCAATTCATATAATAATGATATGGTAATATAGAATGGAGAAGACATATATGGGACATAGACTGTATCTCTCTCTCACACATGCACCCATAGAGAGCCAGTTTATTATTCAGAGCTCCCAGTTGGTGTGTACATCTGAACCCCTCTAATGGAATACACTTAGATGCCTATTGTTTGGAACCCCAGGAGGGTCCTACCATGATTTGTTTTTGCAAAGTTCACTGTGCCATAGGAATATTATGATATTCTGTTTGTATCTTGATGAGATAAAGGTTCAGAAGCAGCTATGAGCTTCTCAATAACCAAAGCAAAAAGGGAAAGAGGGTGTGTTTTCTAGTGTTGCGTGGATATCTCTATGATATCATAGAAATGTACAATGTAGTCCTTGACCTCTCTCTTGGTTTCTTCTCTTTCTAGGCTCTTCTTCAATCTTCCCCTTCCTCAGTGCACTGTTAAGGACCCCAGGAACTTTCTTCTTTCCCAGGGCTTTCCTGTTCCCTGTTCCATTGTCCTGCTTAAGGAGCACCTCAGAGAGAAGAGGAAGGAGCTTTCTCTCCTTTGTTCTGGCCACCTCTGTGCTCCAAAGAGACCATCAACCTCAGCTTCTCAGATTAAATATCAATCAGATTTTCTGTCGACAGAATTCTGTCAACCTTCAGATTACTTCTAGCACATCCTGTCCTGTTCTTAGGGTTTCATCATGCTTGAATAACCTGGATGATCTCACTGTTTTAAGTGGGTGGCACTGGCAGAGTTGCTTGATTTATACATAACTGTCAGGACTTTAACAGGACTTCTGAGCCCCCAACCAGCCCCCAACAAACCCATTCTTTTGTTTCTTTGGTTCTTCCATCCATCACTAAGTCTGTTAGAATAGTCTCTGTGGGACAATGACTTTGCAGCCAGAGCTGGAAGTCATAGCTTGGTTCAGGCTTTCCCCATGACTCTCAGCACTACAAAGAACAGTTATCACTTTCCTCCTTGCCAACCTATATCACCACCCATATAGAAGTTTCTACAAATGCAACCATCACAGGAAATTGGTTAGTTAAAAATCTCACAGTTGTCCACTCTGACATGGGGGGATACTGGCAAAAGAGATTTAATGTGTTGTGTGATCCAAAACAGCATCCCTCAGTAAACCAAAATAAAATGGAAACTTGTTCAGTTTTTACTAAAGTGGTGTCTTTTCTTGAATTGGCAAACATGTACCTTTAAACATTTTTCATTTCCATGAAATTTATTTAATGGATTGCTAAGTTAACTGAGTATCTTTTAAAAGATTTATTTATTTATGCATACAGAACTAGGTTATAGGCCAAAGGTGCAGAGGCAGTGAGAGATTCACCAGAGAGAGAACGGGGAGCAGAAAAGGTAGACTGACAAAGTACACTGCTGAGGGGAGCAGCGGGCAGGTCAAGAGAGGTCTGCTGCTCCATGTGGTCACCTCTGGGGTCAGGAATTGAAATCACACTGAAGTAGCTAAGGCTCACTTGCAGTCCTGCGTCCTAACCCGCTGCACCACCAGGGAAGGCCTGAATCAAGTATTTTTATATATTTTTATATCCACAGAGTAAAGCACTATGCCTTGTCATAATGAGACTTCAAGATATTTGTAATGCAATGCTCATTTTAAAAGATACTGGCTCTAAATCAAGGCTAAACTGTAGAATCATTTTTGTTTTGTAGAGCTCTGATTGATGAAATTTAAGTCTATTTTTCTCCTGGAACAACTTACCACAGAAGGGGTATTTACCGATTTGGCCAAACTATTTCTTGTGCTTCTCCACTTGATCACCACTTCCTGTGTGTGGTTTTTTATTTTGATATGGAGTTTGGAACGAGAAATCCTTTCTTCTGTAGAGATCACATGGATCAACTCCCTTTTCTGAAGGTAGAACAATAGCATCTATGCATTTTAAACACAATCTCAAAGTTTAATTGGTATCACCTTACTGAAAGACTAGATATTGGTACCACTCTGTTCTACAAATAAAACATGTACTTAGCAAGTCCATTACCAATGACCTAATTTCTGTGACCTTTATGATTTCTTCTTCCTTTCCAAAATTAAAGGAAACTATCTTGGCAGATGACTGAAATGATTATTCCTGGATCTCAAAAATGAGAAGTGTTGTAACATCTTAAAGCTGTAATGTGTAAGACTAATGGGGGTAGAGTAGATAAAATTGAATCCCTCATTACAAAGATGAAGACTCAGGGGCCCTCGCTGGTGGCACAACAGGTTAAAGCACAGTACTGTGAAACTAGTTGCAACTATTTTAGCATGAGTTCCATCCCAGGCCAGGGAGATAACCCACCCGCTGCTCCCCTCAGCAGTGTTCTTTGTCAATCTGCCTGTTCTGCTCCCCACTCTGCCTCTGGTGAATCCTCTCACTGCCCCTGCACCTCTGGCCTGTACCCAAGTCCTGTATGCATAAATAAATAAATCTTAAAAAAAAGAAAGATGAAGACTCAATGTCAGAAAAATTCAGACAGCTAGGGTCAAATAGAAAGATACAGCCACACAAACAATGTCAGTTTGCAGTCGGGGACCTCTGCAGAAGAGTTCACTACTGGAATGGACTTTCAAGCTTGCATTTATTGGTCAGTTTACAAAAGAGGCAGAAAACATTATTCATTCCGTAAAAATGATAGGGGTACTCCTAAGGAATTAACATGTTTGTCCCCCCTCTAACGACACCTGATACCCTATTTGACACCCTAAGGTACATTTGGTTTTAAATACATTCTCTTTATATTTCTGATCCAAATGGGCCTTCCATTTAACCACAAACTGTGAGTTCTTTAACTACTATTGTTGGAATGCTCAACCACCTCTTAAAATATGTAAAATGCTCAACCACCTCTTAAAAGCATATAAAAATCATCCTTATTAAAATGCTTATCATGGCCTATAAAGCAGAGAAAGTGCTGGTCAGAGAGTTGTTGCAAAGATCAAAGTCTCATGAGGAGGCACAATGTTAAATGCAAACATTTTCTCCAAACAAGTTGGTAAAGAAAGTTTATTTAGCTTGGATTTGAATTTGAACACTGCACCCAACACAGTATATCAGTTTTTCAATAAACACTCCTGCATGAATCATTGAAAAAATGAGAATCATTACCACCTGATATTGTCTTTCTGGGATCATATTTTGAAAATCTCCCCATAATATACATTTGATACTTATAAATAAGAACAGTCCTCATTATTTGGGTAATAATATCAATAAATCTGAATTTTTGTCTTAGTAAGTGTAAGACTTTAGGGTAAAGCCTTTTCCACTCCCTCCTTCATTGTCTAAAGCTCTGACCACTCTTTCCCCTATTAGGCAAATTGTTATTTTTGTGTCACATTTAGGGCTCAGCTATTCTTTGAAAACATTTTTTTTAAAGATATTATTCTTTAGGCAAGAATCAGTCATAATCCTTTATAGTAATGACCGTAAACATGGTTGGCTTTCCCAGTCCTTAACTGACCAACTAGCTCATAAGGCAACCAAATTCTCAACATTTCTCAGAGGAAAGGACTAGAGAATGAGGGAAAGGAAAAACCCTGAGTTTAGCAGCAAAGAATGCCCTCTTGTGGTGAAGAAAAGAATGACTTCATTCTCAATTGCGACTTCATCTGGGGGCTTCCCAATTTGAGCACAAACCTCTAGAGTTCCAAGTTGGCAGAATATTTGTCAAGTCTTCTTTTTGCCCTAGGTAGAGACTGTGGAGATTTTTGTGTTCTGATCATATAGGTAGGTAGGTAGATATATAGATAGATGTGTGTGTGTGCGTATATGTATATATGTGTATATATATATATATGTATATATACACACACACACCTATCTATATATCTTTAGATACATATAGACGTATTTATAAGATATATCTGTATCTATAAAACACCATAAACATACATAAATGTTGTTTTTTCAATGGAGTATCACATTACACTAATGTAATATTCAATGGAGTTATATGTCATATAATATAGTATATATATATATAATTTATATACAATTAGTTTATTGTATATACATATGGTTTACTATATATAAATATAAAATTCATTGAAAAATATATATATAACTCCATTGACTATAAATATAAAATTTCATTGAAAAGAACAAAGGATAGCTATGTGTCTACATACATATATATATTATATATGTGTATATATATATGTACAGAAAACCATAAATATATGTTTGTGTGTGTGTATATGTGTGTGTGTACATATATATATATATATATATGTATATATATATATAAAATAACAGAAACCTACCAATTTGCCACAGGGTTTCTTAAAGCAGAGGTTCCAACCTTGCTCTGTACTCGCAGGCAATAAAGAAGCAAAACTACATGAAGTAGCTGGAACTGCCAGATAGAGTGGGGCTCCCAGTTATCTGGAGACCGGTAGCTCAACACAAAGGTAAACGTGTGAGGTGAATGGACTGTGGCAAGGACTGCAACGCAATGACTCCACATTGAGTTTGACCCACATACTGCAGAAAAATCCCCAGAGAGATGTTTGCAAAGAGGAAAATTAGAAAACATGACCAAAAAAAGTGGACCCTGTGGAAGGCAGAATGAGCCCCTGCTCATTCTTGTGCCTGGCCTTGGGGAGACTTACTGACCACTGGTTCTCAAGGGTATCTACAGGAGCCCTTGTGGCAGCAACCAAAGCCACAGCCCCAAGTCTGCCAGGCACTGAAGCCCTCCTCTGGTGAGCTCTCTCCCACCCCTGAGAGAAAGCAACAAAAACATTTTTCTAACCCTGCCAAAGCATCTTGTACCTGACTGGCCAAACCAGTTTGCCTTGATCAAAGGAGGAAAGGTTTTGGGGGAGCTGAGGCCAGTGAGGAAAGCAGAGGCTCTTAAGGGACAGATAATCTCTGCATCTAGTACAATGTTTTCTAAAGATTTATTTATTTGTGCATACAGAACTGAAGTACAGGCCAGAGGTGCAGGGGCAGTGAGGGGATTCACCAGAGACAGAGTGGGGAGCAGAACAGGCTGACTGACAAAGTACACCACTGAGGGGAGCAGCAGGTGGTCAGGAGAGGTCTGCCAACCATGCAGATCACCTCAGGGACTGGATGGAACTTGCACTGAAGAGGCTGCCGCTGGCTTGCAGTGCTGCATCCTAACCTGTTGCACCACCAAGGAGGGCCCACATCTAGTACAGTTTTATCTTTTCAATGGGTGCGTGAAAAGATTCCATTCAGCACATTCAGCATCCCAGATGTTATTTGTGCAGCCAATTTCATTTATTTAAATGGTGATGTTCATGATTTGTCACAAGTCAGTCCTCATATAATTACTGGCTCACTGTATTCCAGGTTTTGTGTTGGATTCTAGGTATACAGAGATGAGTAATATATAATATCTGCCCTCAAGCTCACACAGTAGTGGGAAAGACTGCATTGGACCCTAAGTCTGTATTTTGGGGGGGGTCCTATGACATGACTTTTCTCTGCCAACTGCAGTTGCTTCAACTGTCCAGAAGGAGCTGGATGAATAGTGCTTGAATCCATGGCCCTGCCTGCAGTGGCCACTACCCACAGAAGGAGTTAACCCCTGCTGCCCCTTCTCAGCTTGGCTCAGTGGGTCCTGCAGGACAACTTGAAGGCCAGTGTTTCCAAGTCATCCCCCAGCCTCTGCACCTTGAGACCACACTTCCCGCCCCACAGGAGAGGATTAAATGTTCCTGGTCAGCATCAGTGGGATGTACAAGGAGAAGGAGGAAGACAGATTAGAAAAGGAAGTGTTAAGTCCCTGAAAAAGGGACAGATAGGATGACTATTAAATAAAGAAGTAGACAAGTGCATGATCTTCCAGGCCTATAAAGCTCATTGAGGTTTACTGAAAAGTTTAAGACATTTTAAATGCTAAAGTAGTACTTCTCTGTTCACTCATTATCAGTTGAGATTTATATCAACCAATGGTATGGACCATAGCAGCTGTAGTGGCTACATCAGATAAAGCAGCTGGTATGAGAAAAACTGAGTAACTGTCATTGTGTACATTTGACAGTTCTTTGAGGAAACCAGGCTGAAAGAAAAGCAGGGGAAAGTGAACATCCGGATATGGGGCCCAAGTCAGCAGCATTAACAACATGGACACATACAAAAGTAATAAACAAGACAAATCCCTGAGCTTTATTCTGGAAACATTCACCACTATGTTTTGCACATGAGATAATGAACTAAGATACGAGACCTCACGGGCAGCCTTGGGGGTTTGTGACGACGTTACAAGCAGCTGGTCGGCCGAAGACATTAATTTCAAAAAAAAAAAAAAAACAGCGTTAACAGTCTCTCCCCAGGATTTTTCTTCTCAAACCTGTGGATTTGCAACCTGCTGCATAGTTTAAAGTTCATGAATATAAATGTTCCCGTGTAACAGTCTTCAAGTTATTAAGATATAGCTGTTTTTTAACTGAGTGAAATTAATGTTTTGAAGATGCCAGGAAGTTATTTTGATTGGTCTTAGCAATTGAAGCATTTATTCAGTAAAAGCAATTGCCCTCCAGCTTGATAAAACTCATTGAGGGATCTTAAAAAAAAAAATTACTTATTTATACATACAAGACCTGGGATACAGGCCACAGGTGTGGAGATCTTTACAAGTGGTGTCACTGAAACTGACTCAGTGCCTAATGCCTAGGAACAAGAGAGAATGCCATCTAGATACCTGAATACAAGGCCAATGGCAGAGATGAGAACCTGGTGTTAGACCCTGAGCTGCTCTCAATTCACCACCACACTACTTAACAATGGACAGCACATTCGAAAAATCGAACATGGCCCAATATTCCCTATGTGAAGTTAAAACAACAATCTAGAATATCTTCAATGTGTAAAGCTGAACAGAGTGCTCATGACCTATTCACAAATCAGTGATGTTTTTCAAAGCCTTAGGAACTACACCATGATGGAGACAACACTACCTTCTAATCCAGCCAGGACTGAACAAACAAGAACTAGGCTACTATGTTTCTAATCCTAACTGCAGAGAATTGGACATTTTCAATGTCATAATTTTCTAGGACATCAAAATACAAAAGCCCAAGAAAAGCAAGTGTTTTCAAGAAATAAAGCAAACAAATTTTAACAAGCAGTGATCCCAGACTTGGTGGTAAATTTCTCCAGCCTGGCTTTCACTGATATTTCCTCATTAGATTCACAATTTCACTATATAGCTGCCAAGGGGCATCCAAGCCCCAGATAAAGTCGAGGTGCTCCCACTTCGGAATAAACTTGCTGTACACCAGGTTGGTGATCTGGGGCAGGAGCAAGCTGACGTCCTTTTTGTCTGCAAGCATGTCATGGCCTCCGCTCCAGACGGCAGTGGGTACCAGCATGTCTTTCACACTGTAAGCTGGGGGGTAACTCTACAATGAAAGCCCATAAGAAGCTTTGTTGTTGTTGCAGTTAAAGTCACAATCAGCACAATTTCCACTCAACACTGATTGATTACATATGATTTGAAAATAAAAGGCTAAATTTTGAAAATGGCCCAATCTACTTTCCAAATTTCCATTACCAGGACAAAAGGGAAATTTAATGCACAGTGAGAGAACATTAACTGGAATAATAACCAGCTATCGAGCTGTCAGCCCGGGCCTGATGTGGAAACAAGTGTAGAGTCCCTGAGAGGAGATGTTGGTCTCCCAGGTAGTGACTCCAAGCAGTAGCACTGAGTGGCCTCCTGTCTACCCCCTCTGGGGTGTAACGTTAAGTTGTAGAAATTCTCTAGCCCTGCTTCCTAAATCAAAATAACCACATCTGTGTCACTGACCTCTTGTGAGAATTACATAAGAATAACAAAGGCAAAGGCCTCACACTTAAGAGCCCTCAATACCCAAAAAACAGTCAATGTATGGGACATACACAAAGAGGCTTCTAAGGCCCCAAAGTTACCAAGTAACAGGCTAGACCCACTGATTGTCAAGTCTCTTTCTGATCACTGTGGATGATGCCTCCTGGGCTGTCAAGGAAGACACAGGAGACATCCAGCTTACAACACCAACCACAAAGTTTGGGTTGTTCTGGATCAGACTGAGGGAAAATAAACATATCTCATCAACTCTCCCAAGCATTTCCCACACCATCTCAACCAGGCCAGAATCCTAGTTAAGTCAGGCTTCCTTTATGAGTGTTTACAGGGGAACATTAAAATTTCAAAGATTTTGGAGACTTTACCTGGTTATAATGAAAAAAGTTCTTGGCCCTGCTTCCCCAGTCAAAGGCTTGGAATTTGTGTAGTTTATACATCTAAAAAAGAAAATAATTTGGATAAAAGTTGTATGACACAGAAGTCTGAGATAATGTCACAGATTGCTAGGGTTAGTCACATCCTTAGAAATCAATTTACACCAATACCCAGAGTTATGCTTCATTTCCAAATTGTCCTCTAAAATAAAAAAGCATCTGAGCTGCCCTGGTGGCCTACCGGTTTAAGTCTCAGCACTAGCACCATCCCCGCAAGGGAGGTGACTCATATGGCTGGTGCGGCAGACCTCTCTAGTCTTGCCCGCTGCTCCCTCAGCAGTGTACTTCAGTCAGCCCCCTGTTCTGCTCCCCACTCTGTCACAGGTGAATCCTGTTACCCCATCCCCCCCGCATTTCTGGCCCACAATCCAGTTCTTCTACATATAAGTAAATAAATCTTTTTATAAAAAAATTAAAGGCACCATTTTATTCCCCTTTACTAAATGACTCAATTTCCCACTTTATAACAGGAAATCAATGACATAAACATGCTGTGCATTACACTGAATCAAAGGCTACACTCACTGGGTAAACTTGCTGAGGTTCTTTATAGAAATTTGAATCCTATCTTTTCACAGAGTTATCTTACTTGGGAAAGACATAAATAGCATATGTGTATATATATAAGAGTGTGTGTGTGTGTACATATATATATTTATATAGCGTATAATATATGTAAGTATCAATACATAGCTGTATAAGTATGTATAAATGATAGATCACATAATCTATACATATAAATGGTAAAATTAATATAAAATAAAAATATATTTGTTACTATATACATGCACTAATCTTATATCAATAAGTTATATAATTATTATATAATAAGTTATATATTATATAAGTTATATAATTATTATATAATAACTTATATAATTTTATATTAACACTTATGTTGGTTAACATAAATGTTAACTTTTATATATTTATATTATGATTCAATATATGAATATATGATCAGACATAGTCTTCATATTTTCTATATATATTCACTCTAAATGGTTATCTACCTCATGTTAGATGTTAGTGATTTTACTGATTAAACCTTTCTTCTTGGGTCCCAGCACCCCTGTAATTGTCAAATCCTGCACAATTCAAGTGGTTGGGCCCAAACAAGCCATGCAATGGGAGCAGAGGCTGAGCAAATGAAATTTGTAAGGTTTATAATGAGAGTAAGATTTGTAAACTAAATTTAAAACCCAGTACAGAATTTGGTTGTGGAATAGTTAAAAATGTCATACTGGACCCTCGCTGGTGGCACAGCGGGTTAAATCACAGCACTAAGAAGCTAAAGCCACTTCAGCCTGAGTTTGATCCCCACCTGCCTGGGAGGTGACCCACATGGTGCAGCAGACCTCTCCCGCTCCCCTCAACTGTGTATTTCAGTACATCAGCCTGTTCTGCTCCCCACTGTCTCTGGAGAATCCTCTCACTGCCCCCACACCTCTGGCCTTTACCCCAGTTCTGGATGCATAAATAAATAAATGTTAAAAAAAAATGACATGCCAATCACTTAAACAAAGGTAAACTTGTGAATGTTCTATGAATAAATGGACTTTAAAGGCACCCTCAAGATCATTCCCCAGGAACCTCTAAATGTCACACCTGAACTTTAGCCTTCGGCTGCCAGCACCCAGACCCGCACGCCTCTCCCGCACACCCCTGTGTCCTGGACAGGCAGGGTGGCAGCTTCCAGCAACAGCCCAGAGAAGGAGCTGCCAAAAGCACACAAGATTGCCACGACCCCACCTGAGAACCTACCTGGACCCAGTGTAGCATGTTCTGCACAGATGTGCCAGCTGGACTGTGTGTGGTGTACACGGCCACTCTGGACTGCAAAACGCATTGGAATAAAGAAAGAAAACAGCATCAGGGAGGTTTGGATAATAAACGTATTTTACACTTCAAAGCAATCTCATTCCCAGAGATGCAATCTCAAATATATGAGATTACGAGCAGGAAAAAAATGTTTGACTCCAAGTATGTCCAATAAATATATGTACAATCACGTATAGACACATATGAAGGAAATAGAGCAGTGTGGTAACTGTGAACTTGTACAGAGTAAGTCTACTGGTCATTCTTATTTTCTTCTGCATAGTTTTCTGAATTTCTAAAATTCCATATAACCATCACACCTCACTTTTATCAACAAAATATCAGCAAGAAAAAATAATATCACTTTAAAAAATTTCTTAGGGCCCTCCCTGGTGACGCAGTGGGTTAAAGCACTGCACTGAGAAGCTAAAGCCATTTCAGCATGAGTTCAATCCCCACCCCAGAGGTGACCACATGGCATAGCAGGACCTCTCCTGATTCGCCCACTGCTCCCCTCAGCAGTGTACTTCGTCGATCTGCCTGTTCTGCTCCCCGCTCTGTCTCTGGCGAAGCCTCTCACCGCTCCTGAGCCTCTGGCCTGTACCCCAGTTCTGTATGTACAAATAAATAAATCTTTGAAAAAAAAAAATTTCTTGGTGGCCCTCCCTGGTGGCAGAGTGGATTAAAGCACAGCACTAAGAAGCTAAAGCCATTCCAGCATGAGTTCAATCCCCACCCCAGAGGTGACCACATGGCATAGCAGGACCTCTCCTGATTCGCCCACTGCTCCCCTCAGCAGTGTACTTCGTCAGTCTGCCTGTTCTGCTCCCCGCTCTGTCTCTGGTGAATCTTCCCACTGCCCCTACACCTCTGGCCCGTACCCCAGTTCTGTATGCATAAATAATCTTTAAAAAAAATTCCTTGAAACCTTCATTATAGAATTTCAAAACCTGTTTTCAAAAGCAAGATTATAAACTTCAAATTTAGGAGCACCAGCATATTGCTGGCCACGGGATCACATTTTATAAATCATTAAATGCATACATGCATATGTGTTTATTTAACTTTTTTTTTTTACTAACTAGAAATGGTCCCTCCAAACTTACACAGGATTTTTTTTCAAGGAAAAAAGTCACTAGATATTTATAAATATGATGATTTGAACTGTGACAGATGTCCTCATAAAACAGTTTCCACACAGGCACAATCCAGGAGTCTGAATAACAACCAGCCTGACAATAACAACAGATGCTACTCCAGGCACTTGCTGGCGTGGATTCCCACACCTTTTAAATGAAATGTTTCTCAGTGTACTGATGAGGTCATCTGTAGGTCTCCTTTATCTTCCAACTCAACTCACAGACAAAATTAAATCACTGCAAGCTTAAAGCACATGTTACTATAAGCATACATACCATATTTAAATTCTTTTCATTAAATCCACTGACAAGGAAAAATATATTTCCACAAAGCTCCTTCAGAATGACATGAGTACAAAAGTGTACGCTCAGCCACTTCAACAACTCAGTCTGGGGAAAAAACTCTTTGTTCCCGAACATGTCCTAGAAAATGAAAAGAAACACACAAATATGTCAGCAGTTCATTCAGGTGAGCTGGGCTGCCGAACCCCCCCTCAGGGGACAGTACAGACACATCCCAAGAGCCTCAGAGACCACCTAGTAGAGAAATGGCAACTGGCGGATGTTTAAACTAGGTGACCCACACAGTATGCTGAGACAAAGGCACGCTTCACACAGGTGTACCCAAAGTCTCAAAATGAAGGAGGAAGCAGAAAATCAGATGAGTTTAGAGCAGACTTTTAGTGGGAAGGTCTCACTCACCCCTGGGCCATGCACAAAGAGTGTCCTCTGAATAGAGGACTGGAGTGGCCCCCCCAAAAGAGCAGGAAGTGGGATCGAGCACAGAGCGTCTGCTCGAGGACACGCTAGGTACACCTAACCCCAAATCCAAGTCACTGCCTGCTGGCTTTTCAGCCCTTTTTCTTTCTTGTGGCAGAACATAGATAACACAAAATTTACCATTTTAACCTATTTTGAGTGTTCAGTTAAGTGGCACTAAATATAACCACCACCACATCCATCTCTAGAAACTTTTTATCACCGCAAACAGAAAGCTGAAAACATGAAATAAGCCCCCCCACATCCC